CCCCCCCCCCCCCCCCCAAAGCTGCTTTGAGTTTCCAGCTTCGGGGTTACAGACTCAAACCCCTGGAACAGGGTCTACCTGGACCCTGAAAGGACCTACCTTTTTAACGTTTAGGGTTTAGGGTTTTAAGGAGCTGTATTAATAAGGAATCCTCAAAAGGTAGTTTGTTTGGGGTTAAGTAGTTGAGTACCCGTCCGAAGCCAAGATCTGGGGAAGGTCTCTGCAGACTCTGGGTGTCAGGGTGTCAGTAAAGGGACAGTGTCGAGCTGCAGCAGGCTGAAGATTGCAAAGTATTCCCCAGGGATCCCTACTATCACTTTTAGAGTAGGATGAACCTCAAAGCCCTGTTCGTATTATTGGTGCCCCTATATTACCTGCCTGCACACCGTTTGTTTCAACAGCTCAGCCAGTGCGGGTGTGCTCGCACCCTAGGCACGCACCCCAAAGTTTTGCGACTGAGCTTTCTTAGTGGTCTCGTGTCGAACTCTTTCGCAAGTCCAATTTCCCGGAATCCTCAAGTTTTCAGGTGCAGATAGGTTCGACATCATGAACGTCAGCAGAAGACTTCGCGCGAGCAATGATGTAGAGGAGCAACGACAGTGGGGTCCTCTGCCCAACAGCATGGAGCCCAAATCGACACTATGTTTGTTGGGGGACCTCCCGGACGTAATTTTTGACCAAGAGCCTGTTTCTTCCGGTCCGTCAGTCGCTGCCAACAGCTTGGAGACTGACCCTGGACCCCCGCAAAGGGACAACATCCGACAGCCGGACCTCCTTCGAAATAGTAGAAGCCTCAATAATTTGAACAGGGTCTTGCGGTTCAGTTTACAATACTGATACAGAACTATAGAGGAACATTGTCACGAGCTCTTCAGACCGGTACAGAACAGAGAGCCGACATCCGACATTCAAAGCCTAGCAGGGGCTTAAGGGATTTTAGGCGTTACAGTAGGGTTCAGGGAGTGTAGGGTCTTGAGAGGTTTATCATCTGGCATTCTCATTACGGTCATAGCTGAGCGCACCGTAACCCGCTTATAGCCGGAAGAGGTCTTTCTGGGAAACAGCAACAAGGGCAAAAAAACAATGTCTAGCCTGATGGGAAGTACATATGGCATTGTTGGTGTCAATCAGGTCTTGCCGGGATGGCGCTGGTATGTCTCGACGAGTAGAGTCATCGACGGTAGAAGCTTGAATAATTGCAAATACTAGTCCTTCGGGCTCGTACTGCATATACAGCGTAATATCGCCCAAAACGCTATTCTAACTA